TAATACAGCTCCAACATCTAGCAACTATGCCACTACCAGAAGATCTGAAAAAGATACGAGGTCAACCAATAAGGGTAAAAAGGCTATAAGAATTTTTGTCAGTTTTAGTAATTCTTCTGATGATGATGCTAATGTTACTGATACTTATGATGGTGGTGGTTATGGTGGTCGTAATGGTAGTAATAATGATGATGATGATGCTAGTAATCATGGTGGAGATAATGATGAGGGCAACAAGAGTAGTGGTGGAGGGATTATTGGAGATGGTGGTGATACTCAGCTAATTGGTGGTATGTCATGGGCATAGGAGCAAGACAATTATTATGTCACACAAGATACACACCATGGATATTGACCAGGGGCAATGAAACAATGGAGGAATTTAAACTTTTCCATTAGTGATAATTATTCCAATAGATGTCACCATCATTCACTTGGTCGGTAAGATATTGATGATCATATGCAGAGTTTGGGATTGGCATCACATGAAGGATACATGTCTTACGGACATCATCAAAGTAGTAGTATAGAATATAGTTATGCACATGAATCATATAGATATGGTATCCTTTCACAGTTTGCAAGGTCTATTAGTACTAATAGTGCTGGGCATTATGGCCATCGCCCTACGCATCTTGAGAGATCTACTAATACTAGTACTAGTGGCTATTATGATTGTGTTCTAAGGAGACATCATGATGGATCTTCTAACACGATATCGGATAATGTCAACTTGTATGGATATGATCAGTCTTCTACTAGTAGTGGTCGTGAATATTGTGGTTTTGGGTAATATCAGCATAAGAATTAGCCAGTACAACCTCCAAAGTCACACTACTCTGATTATGGGTCATCTAGCCAATCAACTCAACCAACCCAATTAGACCCGTATTCACACTTATACTCTTATCCTTATGGTGGATAGTATCCTAATTTGTATTATCCTAGAGACAATAACGACGATNTCAATTAGACTCGTATTCACACTTATACTCTTATCCTTATGGTGGATAGTATCCTAATTTGTATTATCCTAGAGACAATAACAACGATTTTGAGCCTCATCGTCATTCAATGTGGCAGTGATTATGGTTCAATCTTATTTNCCAATTAGACCCGTATTCACACTTATACTCTTATCCTTATGGTGGATAGTATCCTAATTTGTATTATCCTAGAGACAATAACGACGATTTTGAGCCTCATCGTCATTCAATGTGGCAGTGATTATGGTTCAATCTTATTTTTGGTAGTGATTTTATGTTTCATTTTAATTATGTTTAATGTGTTTTTGGATGTATAGTGGACATATGATGTATGAATGATGATGTTTATATTTTTAGAATTTTTTAAATTTTTTTCAAATTTTTTTGGAACTTCTATCTTACATTTTGAGCGTATCAGCCGAAACCGCGCCGCGACCAATATGTATCAGCATCCTCCGAGTCGATGGCTGATACTGCGACTTTGAACCATGATTTGGAGAGATAAGATTGGTGGATTTTTTTGCATTGAATTGCTTTAACTTGAATTAACACACACATTTACTAATTAGGTCAAANAGAACTTCTATCTTACATTTTGAGCGTATCAGCCGAAATCGCGCCGCGACCGATGTGTATCAGCATCCTCCGAGTCGATGGCTGATACTGCGACTTTGAACCATGATTTGGAGAGATAAGATTGGTGGATTGTTTTGCATTGAATTGCTTTAACTTGAATTAACACACACATTTACTAATTAGGTCAAAATTCTTGGTCACATATGGGTTAATTCTTTGTCGAATTTTTAATTGTGTGAATCAAGTTTTATTTGGGCACAATTTTGCATTAGATTGCATAAGACCTATTTATCCCCCTTTGGTTCATATACTTCTATTTCAACATTCAAGGTTGATCTCATATTTAGCACTCCCAGATTTTGTTGAGATGATAGTATATTTGACCTTATAAAATTTACCTATTATAATCATTTTTCTAATAAAGTACACTACATAGCTTCAGTATCACGCAACTCTACATGTGTGTGTGTGTGAGTTTGACATATATATTGGGAAAATTTTAAGATCATGTAGTATATAATTTCATGGTAAAATTATATTATTTTCAATAAGTTGTGTTTCTATAGTAGTAACAGTTCAACTAGGTGACCAATGTTGAATTAGTGACCCATTGACTTCATCACTTTGTCTGGTTGATGTCTGGGTCACATTTAAATACAATGATGAGTCATGGGGCTACATGGATATATGAGCCTTTATTTATTTTCCCCTAGTTTAGAATTTTGTATGTGGTACAGATTTTGGTGTTTATGGTGGATTTTCAAATGGTAACCGAGGATATAGGTTGTATGATTGTATAATTGTTTAGAAGGTAATGCTCCATACCAACTTGCCTATCCAGTTTTCAAATAGAGCCCAATCATATTTCTAGTAAAAATTCACAAAGTTTTTTATAAGAGGTAGTGTTTGGTGTCACCTTGTTCTAGCCACCAAATCCAGATTTCTGGCCGGGGGAGGAAGGGGGGAGACAGAAATGAGTTTATGCCATGAAGATCTATAGGGAGGGATAATTTTGTCATGCATTCCTATTGAAAATAAAGAAGAAGCAAAATCTCCTTTTGAATAGAACTTCATAGATTGCTCTGTACAATTTACAATTGAAAAACTTATGTTCATTGTAAGATTATTGAAAAGCAAGATTGGTCATAAATTTGGTGATAGATGCTAAAGTAGTGTTTGATTTTACTTATAAATCTATTTTCTTAAATAAATGCGCCCTAGGAAATCCGAGAGTGTGACATTGTTAGGGATTGGGTTTCATCTCTAGTTCCCACACAAACTAGATCTAAGGTTTAGACAATCTAATATTTGAATTTTGGTAAATCTTGAGTAGGTTTCAACCCAATCACACACATGAAATAAGGTTCTCGTGTGGGTTCATTTTTTTTGTTTCTTGCTCTGTCTATTTCCCTCAAAAACACGAATGGTTATGAAACGACTAAGAGTCTAAACCCAATATGTACTTGATATTTTTGCAATAGTGTATCCATTTGGCAATTATTCACACATTTATGCTTCCAACGTCCAAAAACATAGTGGTAAAATGAGTAGCCCCACCTTACAAATATGTTTTTCCATCCCATTAAACTATCAATTATAAAACTATTAAATTCACCCCTTTCTATATTCACCCCACTAAGGACTAAGGCCACCCCATTCTATAACCACCCCATTAATGATTAACTCCACCTTGTCCAATGTTTAACCAAAATAAAAAGTCATAAAATAATTCTTCTTAGTTGTGTCTTGATATGTCAAGATCCAAACAACTAGATTCTGAATAAAATATATATAAAAAATCATGTTTGATTGTTAAGAAAAAAAAAATTGAATAAGCCTCCACTCAAATATTTTTTTTATATTCTAATCTGTGAATTTTTGTTCAAAAAAATGATGTAAGTTAAGTTTGTATATTTATATATAAACACTCACACACACACACATATTTAACCCTATATATATTTATATATATTATATACAAATGGATAAAAATCATTGATATTGATAAAAAAAAATTGCAGCTATATTATTTATAAATATCATCATCTGCGAAAAACTTTTGATTTTTTATTTTATCCTTAATTATTATAATAAATTTAATTATACTCATCTATATATTTTTATTTAATTTTTATTTTTTTACTCCTATTTGACTTTTAACTTGTTTTGAATTGTTTTATAAAAATTTTTAAATTCTTTTGAACTTATTTATTAGTCATCCGTTACATACGATATTTTATATCTATATGAAGAAGTAAAGTTCTAAACATGTTAAATTACATGTAGTTACTAGATTGAATTCTACGGTAAAATATATATTATATTATATTTTTAGTATCCAATAATATTATAAGCGATCTAATCAATCTATTTAACAAAATAAATATTAATAATTGTATAATATAATTAGATGTCAAAATGCCTAAAAAGGTCGAAAAGATGCAGATAAGGTACTCAAAGAATTGTAGAATAAAGTAATAATTAAATTTAACAATAATTAAAATACAGAGTAATTATTCAGCACATTTATTATTTAAATTTATTTATGTACTACGCACATTATGTATTGCTAATATAATAANGGCACATATTTATTATTTAAATTTATTTATGTACTACGCACATTATGTATTGCTAATATAATAAAATAAAATAAACTTTGAACTAATACTAGCTTGAACATTAGGTAAGAGATTTATACTAGATAATCAAATTAAATATATTTTTATATAGGCTATCTAAGATGAGATATAGAAAGAAACTCAAAAAGTAAAGATTTAAATGAATTTAGTCATTAGTAAGGTGAGTATATAATGAGGTTGGCTTAATTACCATGGGTGAGTAGAAAAATGGTGAACTTAATAGTTTAATAATTTANAGTAAAGATTTAAATGAATTTAGTCATTAGTAAGGTGAGTATATAATGAGGTTGGCTTAATTACCATGGGTGAGTAGAAAAATGGTGAACTTAATAGTTTTATAATTTACAGTTTAATGAGATAAAATCATATATTTAGGGGTGTAAATAGTATTACCTAATGTTTTTTTNAATAATTTATAGCTAGCTTAATGAGATAAAATCATATATTTAGGGGTGTAAATAGTATTACCTAATGTTTTTTTGCTACAAAAATTTACCTAATTTTTTTATGGTGTAAACTCTTTTTAAACTTTTATTTGTCCTTTTTCGTGCTTTCTAAGGACGGACTTTGAGTATTTTAAGAAGGGATGATACCCGATCCAATGCGCTGGTGATCAGCAATCGAAGGCAATTTCTTGGTATGTTTACAATAGCGGTGACAAAGTTTGGAATACTGATGGGAAAGCCGATGTTAAGGTTCTCCAAGGACGACGAGCCAAGAGAAGGTGAAGAAGAGAAAACCCTATTCATCAATTGATTCACTTGCTCTAAATGGGGATAATTTTTCTTAACAGATCATGGATGGTATTGGCAAGAAGAATCAGTAGAAGAGAAATAAGGTATTTGAGGAAGAGCCAGAGAGGGAAAATAAGCGTGGTCGCTTGCAGGAAGGCAGCAAAGAAGAAGAGAAGGATCAGGAAGATATGGATTTTGATCAACAAGTCATAGCCAAAGTGAAAGCCAAAACCAGCGCCATTGATGGACAAGTGAAGAACGAGAAGGTGAGAAAGAAAAAATCCAGATACCCACCAGAATTGAGTTTTGAATTTTCTGTTGCAAGTGGGCATCAAAGTAAGGGTGGGTTTTCAGCTTGTATGAAGGAGGACACTGGCAATAAGAAGAGGAAAAATAAGGAGAAGGAAAAGGGGAAAGGACGAAATGGCAAGCATTCTGTGAAGTTTCAGTATTCACAGGTAATCCATTCTCCATACTTTCAGAAAGAAGTTCAACAAGAATCGAGATATGATATTTATAAGCAACCCATTGTAGGTATTAATTTATGTACAAAATCGAATGAGACGGATATGGATGTAGGCAGTGGGGACGCTGTTTCAGAGGAGATGAATAAGGGTGGTGGCAAGAAGAAGAATAAGAGAAAAAGGAAGGAGAATCATAGTCAGACAACCTCAAGTTCGGAGGTTATTTCTCTGGATTATCTGAAACATGCGAGTGGAGAAGAGAAGAATGAAGATGTTGAGAAATTAAGGACACAATACAGTTTGTCTATTGAAACGAAAGTTAAATTGAAAATTAAGGCTGATGGGGCCAAATGGGGTGTATCCAATGGGGCTCGGCTTGCAGAAGAAATGAATGAGGCCAGTGGCAAAAATAAGAAAAAGAACAGAATAAATGACAGTTATAGTAAGATGACCACAAAGATGGTGAGTGAAGAAGAGAGGAGCAATAAGGATCGGAAAATGAGGATGGAAGATGATTCCTTGACTGAAACAGAAATTATTAATGTATATCCCCACATGAAGTGGAACAAAGCAATGGGGGATTCGCTTTTGTTGGACAGCTATCAGGGGGAAAGCAAGAGGAAGAGGAGGAAAAAGTATACAAATCCTATTATGATTCTTCCGTGTTCTCAGACGAGAGTCAAAAAAGAGTCAATTGAGGATGAGAAGGAGATGATACAGGTCAGTACTTCAACTGGGGGAAAAACTGGTACCTCAGTTCTTGCCAATAATGTTGATGGCATTGTGCGGAATAAGTTTAAAATTGATGACCTGTTCTCACAATTTGCATACAAGGGTAGTACCTGTGTAAAAGGGAGAAGGACTGAAGAGGGCTGTGAGAATGTCTCAAAATTGCAAGCTTGCAGTCCTTATTTCCAGAAGACTACAAATGAAGGAAAAGAGGGGAATGAGGATAAGGAGAAGAACAAGGCGACAGAACCTGAATTTGTAGTTGAGAAGGCAATCGATCCACTCATTATTGGTACTGAATGCTGTGGCAATGGAGCCAATGTGGCTGAGGATGATGCTGACTTGTTGCATTGTAATTGTGAATTGAAAGCACAAACGGGGTTTGAAAATGACACTGGATCTGAAAAGAGTTTTCACCACAGGAAGAGAAAGAGTGAAAATGGTCCCAAAAAAGCACATGCTGAAGTTCAATTTGTTTCCCCTGAAGAGAGGAGCAATAAGGATAGGAAAATGAGGATGGAAGATGATTCCTTGACTGAAACAGAAATTATTAATGTGTATCCCTACATGAAGTGGAACAAAGCAATGGGGGATTCGCTTTTGTTGGACAGCTATCAGGGGGAAAGCAAGAGGAAGAGGAGGAAAAAGTATACAAATCCTATTATGATTCTTCCGTGTTCTCAGACGAGAGTCAAAAAAGAGTCAATTGAGGATGAGAAGGAGATGATACAGGTCAGTACTTCAACTGGGGGAAAAACTGGTACCTCAGTTCTTGCCAATAATGTTGATGGCATTGTGCGGAATAAGTTTAAAATTGATGACCTGTTCTCACAATTTGCATACAAGGGTAGTACCTGTGTAAAAGGGAGAAGGACTGAAGAGGGCTGTGAGAATGTCTCAAAATTGCAAGCTTGCAGTCCTTATTTCCAGAAGACTACAAATGAAGGAAAAGAGGGGAATGAGGATAAGGAGAAGAACAAGGCGACAGAACCTGAATTTGTAGTTGAGAAGGCAATCGATCCACTCATTATTGGTACTGAATGCTGTGGCAATGGAGCCAATGTGGCTGAGGATGATGCTGACTTGTTGCATTGTAATTGTGAATTGAAAGCACAAACGGGGTTTGAAAATGACACTGGATCTGAAAAGAGTTTTCACCACAGGAAGAGAAAGAGTGAAAATGGTCCCAAAAAAGCACATGCTGAAGTTCAATTTGTTTCCCCTGAAGAGAGGAGCAATAAGGATAGGAAAATGAGGATGGAAGATGATTCCTTGACTGAAACAGAAATTATTAATGTGTATCCCTACATGAAGTGGAACAAAGCAATGGGGGATTCGCTTTTGTTGGACAGCTATCAGGGGGAAAGCAAGAGGAAGAGGAGGAAAAAGTATACAAATTCTATTATGATTCTTCCATGTTCTCAGACAAGAGTCAAAGAAGAGTCAATTGAGGATGAGAAGGAGATGATACTGGTCAGTACTTCAGCTGAGGGAAAAACTGGTACCTCAGTTCTTGCCAATGATGTTGATGGCATTGTGCGGAATAAGTTTAAAATTGATGAGCTGTTCTCACAACTCGCATACAAGGGTAGTACCTGTGTAAAAGGGAGAAGGACTGAAGAGGACTGTGAGAATGTCTCGAAATTGCAAGCTTGCAGTCCTTACTTCCAGAAGAATACAAATGAAGGAAAAGAGGGGAATGAGGATAAGGAGAAGAACAAGGCGACAGAACCTGAATTTGTAGTTGAGAAGGCAATCTATCCACTCATTATTGGTACTGAATGCTGTGGCAATGGAGCCAATGTGGCTGAGGATGATGCTGACTTGTTGCATTGCAATTGTGAATTGAAAGCAGAAACTGGGTTTGAAAATGACAATGGATCTGAAAAGAGTTTTCACCACAGGAAGAGAAAGAGTGAAAATTGTCCCAAAAAGGCACATGCTGAAGTTCAATTTATTTCCCCTTATTTCATGAAGTCAATGGGGGAACAAGTAGTAATAAGTGAAGGGAAGCATCTGAAGATGAAATTGCCAAAACCATGTGCAATGAAAAGTGCCACCACAGTGAAGGTTTCTCCTTATTTCCACAATGTTTTGAGAGAAGAAGAGAGTACAAATTCTGACTCATTGAGAGGCCCGACTGAGTGCAAAGTGTCTCACAGAAAGCCTAAAACTGCCGCGGCAGTTAATTCTGTTTTTTCTACGGTCCAGAAGCAGGACGAAGCTTACCAAAGAAAAACTGCAGATAACACATGGAAGCCTCCACGCTCACCTTATAATCTCCTCCAAGAGGATCATTTCCATGATCCTTGGAGGGTCATTGTAATATGTATGCTTCTTAATCGCACAACTGGCCTGCAGGTTCGTTCTTCTCTGTTCTATTGTTTTCTGCACTACTGCTAAATAAAATAATTAATTTCAGTATATTTTTTTCCGAAAAGTGACTTCGGTGTCTTTATCCTGCCTAGCCAGTGTATTTTGTATTGGCTGTCTAACTAACTTCGTATGAATGCTGACGATGTCTCAATTAATGCATCAATATTTTACAAAACATTATCAAAATTCGTTTGCAAGACTTTATCTATGCTGTGGGAATTGGGAAGTGGGACTGTCTCATGATCATTGGTGTGGCTGGGTGAACCTTTAGAAGCTGCATTTCTGGATTAAGTTTGCAGTTTATAAGCATGCACTTGTTAGCAGGCTATCTAAGGATATGATCCCAGTTTTGGGAGGGTTTTTTGCAGGACTAAAGCTCAAAATGTTACATGTTCTTTTTGGTATACTTTGTATAGTTTGTGTTTGTCCTGTACATTGAGGGTATTTTCCTTTTGTACATTCTTTTGATTTTTGTGGCGGATAATTTCTTGTGACTGGCATCCTCGAAGGGTGACATATGACTTTTATAAGATTCTGCAAAAAAGAATATATTTGACTATCTAATAATTTGGTTGGAAAGGTGCGAAGTCTCCCAACATAGTTTTTTTTAATGCAAGGAATATACCGAATATTGAACTTCCTATTGATCCATTACCCGGTGCTAGCCACTTTTGAGTCCTCTCTATAATGTAACATGTCATGCTTAGTTCAGCAGTTTAGGTTGGATTAGCTGGAGGTGTGCAATCTTTTGTTGAAAAGTCAGAGAGGTGCATGGATAGCACCTATGTGTGTGGTGCATTTGAAAAGAAAGGAATACTTGTTCATCCAAAGAAGTTGAACCTCCTAACACAAAATTAAAGCACTAGTTGTTGGACTCTCTAAATTGTTATGGACACCTTTATTTTAGTTGAACCTTTTGTAGCTGTTTTTGGTGGGATGAGATTACCTAGTCCCTATCCTCCTTTGGTGCTCTTTAGTGAAATATCTGTTTTTGTTCTTTCCCTTCTAAGTTTAGCAAGCTTAGCTTTTTGTACAACTTGACTCACTATAATATAATCCATTTTAAGATGTTAGGACATGTTTTATGTTTTGTGATCTCTTTAGTCTGGGAGCATGGAAAATTCTCCTTATTGATTGCCTTTTCTTTTTTCCCATAAGACCGCTATGTTGTGTTATTGTTTGTCAGGGAAAATGTAGAGGTAGCATATATAGTTGATAAATTAAGGGATAGTGATAGGGATTGTAAAGGGATTCGATAGACATAAAATTGAAGATTAGAATTTTATTTATTTTTATTATTTATTAGATTATTTGGTTACCTAATAATCATCTCATTAGAAGATTTAGATAGACCTTTTTTTAGCTAGAGAGTACTTTTTATTTGGGTAGTACACTTGTCTTATAAATAATGGCATAATCCCAATTATTAGAATTAGATTGATGAATATGAATTGATTAGTTTCTCTTCAGAGATTTGTATTTATTAACCGATTCCTTGCGAGGATAAGGTAAACCTCAATTTCTTCTCTTTGTTCTCTATTCTCTAATTTCTACTCCTTTCTGTCTGCATTAATTGGTATCAGAGCAAAACTCCAATCCATTAGGTCTTTCTTTTGCTTCCCCATTCTCTGGCTCTTGTTACACTTAGTTTTGTGTTGTTGCTGCCATTAACGTCTACACTTCGACACATGCCATGATCTGCTTCTTGTTCAGGTTTGTCGACATCAAAATAAAAAAAAAATAGGCTTTGGTTTTATCTTGGAGCCAGTCGCTGAGTTTAAGTTGGGGGTCCACCTGACTTGGCTTTATTTGGCATTCTGACCAACTAACCCAAGCCCATTTAAATCCAACACAACAATAGCCAGCCTAAGAAAAAAATAAAAATCAACCCCATTCCATATTAACCAGCCCAACAGTACCTAAACCTACAAAAAGTTCAGACCCAACACCACTGAAATTACACAATACACTGCTTAGCAAAATTACAGTTTCATCCCTGAAGTTTCAGAATTACACTTTGGCCCCCAACAATTTTAAAAATTTTAGTTTGGCCCCCAATGTTTTTGAAATTATAGTTTGGCCTCAATATTTTTTATGATTTTTCAAGTCAGTTCTTAGATCTAGATGGTTTCCAATGATGAGTTAAATACCAAAGTACTAGCTTTATTCTAAGAACGTATCGATACACAAGAAGCTTTGAATAAAAGGTTAGATACAATTCAAGCATTTATAGATTCACTAAGAAAACTTATGCTAGTTATAGTCCGTGGAACTAAGACAAGTGAAAATTTCAGTTTTGCCTATTCACTGTCAATCAACAAGTGGTTGAATACAATCCTCCAGTTTTGCCACAAGATCCACCACTAAAAGTTTCAGTCCGAGATTATATGATGAGGATAGTTTTAAAAAAAAAGTTAAAAGCGTTTCAAAAGGTGCCATTGCAATTAGAGTTGCTATTTTGTCTCCACTGGTTTATATGCTTCCTTTACCTATATCAATGTCTATGAACAAGATTGTGAAAAATGTACCGGGTATTGATTTCTATTTGGGGATCTACAATATTATTTTCTTGGACACAAGCTTCTCCATATCTCTTGGAGTTTTGCATTTACAACTCTTTGGAGAAGAGTTTGTTTTAGCCGGGGATAATTTATAAGGATCGTAAAAGGATTGGATAAACATAAAATTGAATATTAGAATTTTATTTTTTCTATTATTTATTAGATTATTTTGTTAACTAATAATCATCTCATTAAGAGATTTAGATAGAGTTTTAGCTAGAGAGTACTTTTTATTTGGATAAGACATTTGTTCTATAAATAATAGTGTAATCCATAGTTATTAGTATCGTATGTTACATCACGATATACAATACGACACACTATTTTTGAAAAATAATACGTCTTCCGATACACGATTTGACAACTATGGTGTAATCCCAATTATTAGAATTAGATTAATGAATATAAATTGACTAGTTTCTCTGAGGAGATTTGTGTTTCTTAACCGATTCTTTGCGAAAATAAGGTAAACCTCCATTTCTTCGCTTCTTTTTCTATTCTCTAATTTCTACTTCTTTTTGTCTGCATTACGTAGCTATAATGGTAATCTTATAGGTCTCTTTTAATGAAATATTAACAAAATAAAATTATAGATTATAGTTTAGGCGAAAAGTATGACACTTATTAGAGCACAATGACGAAATAAAATTCATGTAGCCAAACCAAAAATATTGGGAAAAAACTCTTGTTGAATGGAGTAGAGTTGAGTTTCTTTGTGAACTGAACGTTGGACTGTTCTCAGATCCCATCCCAGGAGGGGAGAACCTCGTGCATTAGGCTACCTTACTAGGCTAGCAAGGGAGACACATTTTACCTTTTTCTTGGCCAGAAATTCTAGCTACACCTTTTACCATTTTTTCCCTTTGAGGGATATTTTGCACGGTTTATGAAACTTAAAAACACTATGAAATAAAAGATTCAATGACCACTTGCCAGGGCCAAATGGAAGCTTTCTAGTTATAGCTCAAAGGCTTATTATTTTCTCTTTTTGGACGACCTTCAATTTATTTAGACGTCACAAAAGCTGAGTCTACATCCCTATTCTTCCTTTCTTGTTTTTCCTTGACATCACTATTGGATACTTGTCGGATACACGTATCTATACGGGAAATACATTCACCTTATACTTAGTGTGGTGAGTTGTATAGAAACCATGAATCATATATGAGTTATGTAGAAACCATGAATCATATAAATAAGGATTCCTTGTTTCAAGGTGTTCATTTGGACGTTTATTACATATTTTGCTGTATTTATCAATTCGTTACAATTTGTTTGGCCTAAATAATGAGTTTTTATGACTTATGGCAAAACCAATGAAATCTATTGCAATTAAATGCTAAGTAAAAGTTAAGGACTCGCGAGGGGTAATGCACTTTAAGTTTAGAATTACATAAAATATATATACTCAAAGTATCTATATCCTACTTTTTAGGATTTTGCCATATCATCATATTTGTATCATGTCATACTTGTAACTATATTCGTGCTTCCTAGGTTACAAGGTTTAATACTTACCAATAATTCCGGCCACAGAGAGCAAGACTTCATTGTTGAAGAAAGACACTGGCCAATAATCTGAGTTGGCTTTTGTGTTTTGTGCGCACCTTTGATAGCAATTCAATGATAAGACATTTTGATTCCAAAAATATGGATTTTAACCCGATAAATAGGCTTTGTATATCATGTTGCAATTAAGTTAAGTTTCCCCCCTTCGCAATTGGTTGAGTGCTGGACATGCATTGTTTTCTTCTTATTTCCTGGACATATTATTTTCTGTTTTTTTGCAAGGAACAAATATGTGAGAAAATATTTGATTTGGTTTCACGTGATGAACATTATGTCCACCGTCCTTTTTAATTGTTCTACCATAATATCATACTTGATAAAACTGTTTATGTTATCCTATGTTGCGTGATTTTTTTTATTTTTTCCACTGCTTATATCGATATCTGACCTGAAGTAATGATGAATAGGTTGTGGCACACCCTTTTGGTAGATATCNATTTATGTTATCCTATGTTGCGTGATTTTTTTTATTTTTTCCACTGCTTATATTGATATCTGACCTGAAGTAATGATGAATAGGTTGTGGCACACCCTTTTGGTAGATATCTAGTTTTATAAATTATTAATATAAGCAACGGATAAAAAAGACCACATGATCACAAGCTGCACACAGATAAATATTTTGGAGGAAATCCTTGCAGAAAGCAACACCGGATCTCGTCTAGTAAACTCAATGATCTATGATAAATATGATCACGATGAGATCGAAACAGTTGATAGCTGCGTAGTCTCATCCGAGAGTATAATGTCTCAATATTATGCATTCGATGGTCTCTTCGGACCATGCATGGATTTGGCTCCTGTATATAAAGTTACACTCACAAGAATCCTTGTAGACTTCAAAACTCTGTTTATCATAACCAGTAGAAAATAACACCTTGAGAGTTATGCTACGAG